CCTTGGCGCCGGCGGCCCGCCGAGCCCGCCTGGCTGTGCCCTGAGGAGCCGACCTTACGTTAACGTTTTGCTGCTGTGCTTTGAAGTCAGAGGAGCTGGGCCGTTTCCATTTTAGATTGAAAAGCCTGCGTGAGGGTCCTTGCTGCCCAGGCGGCTGCGTTGGTTGTTCGAAGCGCAGCTGGTCTGGAGTGAGCTGTCACCTTCTGTCCAGCCACCTTCAGGTATCGCTAGGAGAAGGCCTGTGCGGTCTGACAGTGCTGCGTATGAGCTGTTCGTGAGCCACGCTTTACCTACACTACTGCAGTAGATAAATATAATTAAGTAGTTCTGTTAGCTGGATTCTGGTGAGTCGAGTTTTATAGCTGATTATAACCTTTCTGGTAAGGCTTTCTGGTTGCTGGTATGTTGTTATGGCCTTTTCCTTGTTTGGCTTTTTTAGTATGTAACAAAATAGGCCCATCTAGAGCCTTTTGTCAGTTAGAGGGTTAAATAAGAGGAGAGACACTACTGGGCTGCGTACTGTCATTAAATCTATAGGAACTTGCTGTTTTGAGATACCTTTTCCTCCCCCAGATTTGGCTGAAATGGAAAAGAGGTGTAGGAATCAAGCATTGTGGTTAGGTGGCTGGAGCATGTGGCACATTCATTGGGAGAGGCTGTTTTTCTGCCTGGAGGAGGTGATAATGGGATATCTATCTAACTGCAGTCCTCCACTACCTAAAGGTGGGAGCACTATACAGATGGCAGAGCCGCAGTCTTCCCAGCTAGGAGAGGCAGGTGACCTATAGGCACACACTTTCCTACTTGAAAAATACATTCCTGAGAAGTGCAATGACTAACGCTTTGACAGATAGCAAAACAGTCTGTTGATAAGAATTAACATAAGGTGCATCTTAGCCTCTAAAAATCCAGCATCTCCTCCGGTTGATTATTCTTGTCCCCCTCCTCCTCCCCTCCCCCCCCCCCCCCCCCCCCCCCCCCCGCATATACTCTGCTTGTGTATTTGTGTGTGTCTCTAAGTCCTGGGTTTCCTTCTCCCCTATTATATTAATTTTTATGAACAAAATTGCTTTTCTGTCTGTCACACTCAGCTGATTCATCTGTGAGGCTGAATGCTTAACATAAATCTTTCAGTGTGAGCATTCTTGCTCCTTCCTCTTGAAAAGTTTCATTATCACTGCCATCATCTTCAGCTCAGTGGTGTCAGTCAAGGGTGAAGGAGACAGGAAAATGTACAGATGATGAATAGCGAGCAGGGTGCTAAGTAATTGTTGCTGTAACTCTAAAACAGTGATGAGAGCTAGCAAGGGTGTTCATGTAACAGCACAGGCTGTGGAAGCGGTGTTTGTTCGGCCTGGAAGAGAAGACTATGGGGGATCTGGTTGTAGTTTCCACTGCCGAATGGGTGGAGCCAGACTCTTCAAAGTAAAGCATAGAGAGTGGACTAGAGACTGCCTGAAAGTAGTAACAAGAAAAATCCTTATGGGAGGAAAAAGAGAAAATATTTTCATAACAAGAATGGTTAAACATTGGGAAAAAACTGCCCAGAGAGGTTGCAGAATGACCATCCCTGGAGACTTTGCATGGTCATCTGAAGAAATTCCAGATCAGTCTGAATTAATGTAACCTGATGTAGCTTTGAATTCAGCCCTGCTTTGAGCAGGAGGTTGAACTAGATGACCTCCAGACATCCTTTCTGACCAATGTATTCTATGATTTGAGAAATGGAGCCTTCACTTACAGTGTAAAAATACTTATGGAATTTAAGCAAGTTGAAGGCTTTTCTTCTTCTTGAATACCCATTTTGCTTTTAGAAACTTTATTTTAAAGACAGGTAAACAGTGTCTTTACTTTTAATCTGCTGCTTGCGTGATTAGGAATTTACACGTCTTTCCTGTGACAGGATTTGAGATCCGAATGCCCAAATAATCTTTTTGAAGGCAGCAGGCTGAGGTCTGCTGCATTGATAAAGTTTGTAACTATTTATAATAGTAACCTGGCACAAGTTTTTCTCTTCTTCAGATACAACGTTTGCATCTTGTAAGAAAAATATAGCTGCTTTAAAATGTGATGATCGTGACGGGCAGTCTCATAGGTGAACTGTTAAAACACACTGATATGTTGATGTTTGCAAATTTTTTTCTGTGTGACTTGAAGTTCTCTTTCTGCAATGACTGTGGAGTATCTATATTTAGAGGTAATGTTTTATTACACTACTCCTCTTGCAGCAAAAATTCAAGGCATGAAAAATGCTGTTCCCAAGAATGATAAAAAGAGACGAAAACAGCTGGCTGATGAAGTTGCCAAACTAGAGGCAGAACTTGAACAGAAGCACAAGGAGGAATTAAAGCAGCTCAAGGAAGCTTCACCTGAGCAGAGTAAGGTAGGTGCCTTAACTTCAGTGGAAGTTGTACAGATACAATTTGAGTTAAGGCTTCTTTAACTTTCAGAAATTATAATGAAGTAACACTTAAATTATTTCTCCATTTTCTCGCAGTATTAGTAACTCTTTTCATCTTTGGAAGAATTCAGCTGTTATGGTGGGTGGGCATTGCTAGAAGGGACATTTAACAGTGGGGTTTGTTGTTGTTGAGCAGTATTTGATTTTGCTTTTAGGGGTCCGTTAGTAGCTCAGTCATCTTAAAGAATTTTTTTTAAAGTTTCTGGTATATTGTCACTCTTAATTATCTTATATAGACTATTCCAGAGTTGGTGGCCTTCAGTAGGCGTTTGGCTGATGCAGGGTGTTTTGTCTTGTAATTCTGTCAACAATGTAGTTGACCTTTTTGTGAGACGACGCTTCCTGTGCTGGTGAGAATTGTCGTCTTAAAAGTTTTTCTGACATGTTGGCAACATAGCTACATATGTAAAAACTTCCAGTTTGATGGCAAACCACTT